GGTGAGCTGACATGTCATAGATGTCCCATTCCTCGGCGCCCTCGCTACTCGCGGGCCTCTTGATGGGCATGGGGGGATATACCTCGTTCGAGCTTAGGTCCAGCACCTTGTTGAGTGCACTGGGGGCAAGGTCCCAGATGTCCACCAAGCACCTCCTGCAAGCCCAACTGGCGTTCCACTGCCTTTTGATCCACTAAGACGGTATTGCCTCCCACTCTGGGAGACCTGTCCGGTCACTGCAGTCAGCGGCCTCCTCTGGGCGCCATGTGAAGCGCCTCAGGGCGGGCGCGCCCGCGGGCAATTCGAGGAGTGGGGAGTAAGGGGGGCTGAAATCGCACTTGGCTGAATAGCAATTGGCGCGGTGCGCCTCTGCGCCGATCCTGCCGTCTGAAAGCCTTTGCGGTGGTAGCGTGGCGCCTGCGCTGGCAGGGCGGAAAGGGCGCGGCGCACGCAGTGTGAGCCCCTTGAGGGAGGCCAGGGCTGCTGCGTCCGCTGGCTCCTGGTACCCCAGTGGAAGCCTGGACAGAGAGGGAAGGGTCTTCGCCCTCTTCTGCGCCCGGTTGTCGTATAGCCTTCGCTTATGCTCCTGTAGTAGCCACAGCATGGACTTCTTGCCGGCGCGCTCAGAGGGGTCGGGCCCGGGGAGGGGGATACTTTTCCTCTCCAGTGAGACGACCCAGCAGCGCTCGCAGAGCCATCTGCAGTTCTTCCCATCCGTGTACGCCTGCGGGCGGTTCTGAACGAGTAACTCCCGGGTGAAGTTGTCTCCCCAGGTACCTGCTGTACCATGAAGCCCCGCGCTGACGCACCCGTCGCAGTTGTAGGTGGCGCCCTTCTGCAGCCTGCTGAAGCGCCCATCTCGCACGACGGGGGGGACCAATGATGCACCTGGGGCAGGGGGGGCGGGGATGTCTTCGTCGAGACGGTGGCTGGAGATGGCCATTCCGCCACCTATGTACTGGAGGTCGCCCATGGTCCGCGGGCATCCGAGCCCCATCTCTGAAGCCACCTGGTGGGGATACGCGAAACGTCAAGCATTACGCGACTTAACTACTTCTGAAAGGTAGACCCTCGGAACACGAGCCACAAGCGACCCGCGCAACTACACCGCGCCGAACACACCCCGCCACGTGCCAAACCTGGGCCCCAGTTCGCCCAGCCTGCTGGACTCCTGGGTGGCGGGGCCACCCTTCGACGTGCGTCTCCCAGCGGACGTGCCTCCAGCGGACGCGCCCCCCAGCGACGCCGACGCGCGCGCGCGAGCTGGCTCAGCGCGCCGCACAAACATCCGCTGACTAAGGAGGGGCGCGTCCAGAGGAACGTGGAAACGACACCCCCCCCACCCCCTTCCCTCCTTAATACCCATCCCGACGCGTTTGGTTTTGGAGGCGGCCAGGGGGTCCAAGCTGGTTGGGCCAGGGGAAAATCGATCGCAAGGGGGGCACGCGCGTCGGCCAAAATCTGCCCCTGCACCTCTCCCGTGGCCAATCTGGCGCAATTTGCCACCCGGGATCCGCTTTTGAAGGTGCAGAAAAACTCGACCCAGAGCATCTTTCTTCTAGGCCAGATGATCAAGGTCAGCTGACCTCCTCGCTCAGGTGGCCCTTCAATCGTGGATCTTCGGGGCGAAATCCCCCTCGGCACTGACGGGCGACATGGCGGCGCGAGCGTGGGAATCGCAAGCAGCGCCCCGTGCCTGTTTTGAGCCAGGCGCCCGCAGCGTCGGGCGGCCGTCGGGCACAACGAATGCAGGAGGGAGCGAGTAGAAACACCCCCCCCCCCCCTCCCCCCCCCGGAGGACGCCAAGGCAATCTACTCGACGTGCCAGCCTTCAACACATCGCGTCAAGGAGCGCGGGCCCCAGTAGAAAAAATTGCACAACAAGCACCCCATCCGCGCAGTGCCTACTCCCGCTGCAGCGAGGAAGGCGCCGACGCTCGACAAACCCCTCATTGATTCGGTAGGCGCGCGCCGCTCAGCCGATCATGTCGCACCGCGGTTCGCGATGACCTCGCCTACCTTTTCCAGCCGTATGCGTCCTTCTTGTTGTCGAATTTCTTCGCAGTCGTTCTTCAACAACGACTGACCAGACTATCCCTTCCAGTTCATGTCGGAAAACTGTCTGCTCACCAAGCTCCCATGCCTCCACGGTTGGCACTGTCATATTCGTTGGATCTGCTCCACCACTGCCCATCATCTTTACACCGGCCCCTGCTGGCATCACTTTTCCAACGGTGGTCCGACGAGCAAATCTTAAAGCATCCTTTCGCCTCCGACCTTATTTCCACCACGTCCCCGCCCCTTCCCGCGGGGCGGGCAGTGTCCGACAAAAGCACCGTCAATGTCGCCATGCCCTCGATCCCACTTCTTCCCCCAATCGCGCCCAAAGTCCTGTCTGGCTCTGGGCCGACGGGCCCGCCCGTGCAAGCCCATTGGGGGGGGGGGGGGGGGCGGAGGCATTGCAGAACTGCCATCCGTCGACGCGGCGGCAGCATGCTCAGTGGCGGAGCGACTGCCCAATTTAGAACAATGTTGTAGACTGGCGGTAGTACTCATGGTCAGACTCAATCTATTATTCCCGACCGTTCGCTGAAGATCCTCTGCGCGCAAGTTATTTGCCACAACCAATCGATGTGTTTCTGCACGACCAGCCTTCACGTTCCCAGCTATGTCCTGTGTTAGTTCTATGGCGGTCTGCGCACACTCTTTGCCAATGACAACTGCACTCGTTTCCGCCAATACCGTTGCGAGGGCGGTCGCAACAAATCTCTCACCTTCGCCCAACTCGTTCCGCCTTGATTCAACCTGGTGCTTCTCGCACGCAACACTTTCACCTAGCGTAGAAATCTGCTCCAAAAACATAAACCCGCCAAGTTTGGATTCACGCTATTAACCGGTTTCTTCGCGTGCCCTTTTTTTTCCAAGTCTCGTTGGATCACACGCATCACTCTGTGAACGTTTACCTGATCAGTTCCCGCCGCCTCAAGTCCCACACGCCGTTGTGCTATCTGCTGCGGCTGGTCCTGGCTCACCACCAACATAAGGGTGAAGGTCGTTAATCGTAGCCTGGCTATCAAATGGAAGGTCCGTCCCGTATGCCAGACCTTACGATCCTGGACCCTTCCATTCGTGTCGACGGCAACACCACACCATCATCCTCCTGTCGCTGGCACGGCTCAACCTTCTTCCGACTATTACTCGGCGATTCTAGCATGATTCGGGACATAAGCGAGGCCCACGACATCTGGTCAGGAACTCGCGAGTATCCTGGATCACTCTCTGCGCTTGCCTCTGATTCATGAATTTCAATCTCCCTGGGCGCGTTCTGTACAACTCAACTCGCTTCCCAGAACACTGACTTCGCGAGATCGGCCATAATCTCATCTGGCATCTCGCCGTCATTGCCAACTGCATTTCAGCTGCGGTGGTAAACTTCATCTGGATCAACGCAGTGGATATTAACACAACTTAACACATATGACGTATGCCCATCCTTTTTTGATGTCACGGGGTTTATTTACGTTATCTTCTTTTCACTTACTACGAGGCGCCAGCAGCGCTCGACAGTTGTCTTGAGCCAAGCGCCCGCAACGGCGGGCGGTCGGCTCGCAAAAGGAAGAAGACAAAATGGAGCGAAACGAAACGACTCTTCTAACCTTGCCCCCCCTTCCTGCTCGCCGGAACCAGTGCTGGGCTACCTCAGACCCACAGCCCACTCTAAGTCTGGTTACCAGGGCCATCAGCGTCGACGGGGCCCGTGGCTGGCGAGCCTGGCAGGCTCATGGCTGGCAGATTTGTCCTCCGACCTGCAGAGGACGAAGCCACGACAGGGACAACATCGGACCAAAATAGATCAACGATCTATGAGATCCTGCGGATCTGGAGGATGTATCGGGCACCGCGGACTTCTCAGAGCGTCCTGGCACGCTCTGAGAGCGTTCCGAAACGCTCGTATCCCCCTGTCCTACAAAGCCTCACCCGGCTGCGCTCTCCATAGAACATCCGACGACTTCCCAAAGATCCGACAGACATGGCATCCTGAACCTCCCGAAACCTTCCCCCCTGGGCCAGCTGTCCATCCTGGGTCGCTTTGCTGGCAGTCCCCGCGGGGCCCGCAGCAAGCCTCCAAACAGCCGCACTGGTGGAAAAACGGCCGCCCCAATTCTTGTCGGACCGCCGGATCTCTGGCCCCGCCCCCGCGCCCACCTCACTGACCAGGGTCTGGGGAGTCCGGCCCTCCGACGCCGACGGGGCCCCTCCCCAGAGGTCCGATGTATGGCTCATTTTAGAATGCGCGGTCTCCGAAAGTCCCGACCCTCTCCTGGGGCCAGAGTCTTTATCCCGAGGAGTTGTTGAACATTTCATATAGTAGAGGCGTTCACAAGAAACCTTTCACAAGAAACCCAACCCTGAGACCCAAGGACGCCAATTGATTTCTGGCGTGGGAACGTCGCGCTCTCCATTGCAAAACCATCGAAACTCAAGAAACCCAGGGCACCCTGGAGGCAAGCAGGGTGTGTCTTGGCATGGCCCCCCACTGTAAACCGCGAGAGTGGCCGGGCGGGGCGGGGCGGAGGGGGACCTCGGCAGCGCGGTGCCTCGCGGGGTCCCTTTGCTTCGAAGGTGTCGTTATGGCGCGTACTCTCGGCCCCCTGATGAGCAGGGAGGTCCACACCCGTCCAGGGGCGAACTCTCGAAGGATCACGCGAGTGTTCGCCCCGTCGAGGCTTCCTCGAAGATGTCGTCGATGCGAGCATCCACGAAACCCCCCCCGAAGGACCCCCCCATCCGCGCGCCTCACACCAACCCTGGGGTTGGCTTTGTGCCCCGTGCCGTGCGCCTTGGACCCTTGGACGGCTCACGTCGAGAAGTGCCGATCTGAGAGACAGCGGCATCCACGAAGGCTCTGGGCGAGCCCCTAAGGACCTCAACCAAGCGATCTCCGAGCACGGCGAATCCTGCGAACAGGGTCCTGGCCCCCCTCTCCCTGCAGGCCGCTCCTGTGGTATCTCCCTGAACATATTGGCGCCCTTCTCCCACTTCTCCTTCGCCTTCTCCGACGACCAATCCACGTGTCCTGTGCGAGGCCCAGGGCGCAGACACCACGTTAAGCGTCGCTCGGGCTCGGGCAAATTGACGTCGTTACGACAATAATGTTTCGTCCACACCTCCTAAGTACCGGGCAATTGGTATACGAGCGGTGCCTCCACCTGACTCCGTCGGGCTTCCTCTCCCACACCCAGACTCTCGCACCGAAACATTTGTCGTTCTCATGTTCACTCTTAGTCGATCTCATTCACACACAGACTTAGCAACCTTCAGACTCACTCACACCCACACTCAATCGTATTGCGATCACTCATACCCATACTCAGACTCAGGATCACCCACAAACCCGCTCATACTGCGACTCGCTCATACTCAGACCCAGTCACACTCGGGCTCTCTCACACAGACCTAAACATGCAAAAACCACCCATGTTCAGAGCACTCATACAGAGACTCACGCGCACCCAAACTCGCACGAAGCCATAACCACTCATCTTCAGGCTCACTCTTACTCATAATACTGAGACTTCAACTCACTTACGCTCAGACTCATCAAGACTCAGACTTCGTCTCAGGCCCACTCTTACTCAGAAGTCTGAGACTCAGACTCACTTACACTCAGACTCATTAAGACTCAGATTTCGTCTGACTCATCCTTCATACACAGGGTCATCCTCATCCACAGTACAAGGATCATCAAGATGTAGAAATGCATAGTTAAACCTTGGGTATCCCAAGGAGGTTGCGCCAAGGGGTGAGAAGCGTCCCCTTCGCGCCCCTGTTGTAGGGACCTCTCAAGCAGAATGGCAATTGTTTGTGGGTAGACTGACCATCGCCATGTAGCAGGCGCAGCACTTGGGCAGCCATAGGGGGAGCCGCCAAGAAAATAATGCGGGCCAACTTTGCGCCGAGACTGTCGGGACTCCGGCATAATGACGGTCTTGCTAGGTCGATGGTAAACTGTCTCCTCTCATAGTATCATGGTCATCGCGAGCTGGGAACCGCCAGAGGGTATGATGCGCGCCCGTGCGCGCCCAGATTGTGAGCATCATGGTCATCGCGATGCATCAAGCTTGTCGTTTGGGTATCCAAAAGAAGAGCCGTGGGGGCATGACACGGGCATGTTCGCGCCCATATTGGTGGGGCATCTACAAACACGGCCGCTTCTTGGGGGTAGGCGTGTCGCTGTTTAGATCACAGTGCTCATCGCGATGTGGCAAGCATGGCGCTGGGGCGCCCCAACTGGGCGGTCCCCTTCGCGCCCAGATTGCCTGGACCCAGTGAGGGAGCAGCTGCCCACGCCTGGCCAGGCGACGCTCATCCATGGTGAAATACCCTTCTCCGCAGCTCCCGGAGGCTCGAGCGCCTGCGCTGCTGCGCCCCCGCGCTCGGCCTTGGAGAGAGAGACGGGAGCGAAGAATCGCAGGGCCCACCCTCAAGACACAGTGGGGGAGACGCTCAGACCTCCCGACTGCTCCCTGCTCTCCCCTGCCTGCCCCCGCCGTCTGGACAGCCTCGCGCTGTTTACATTTCTGTCCTCCCCCCGCCTCCCTCCGAGCTCTGACAGATGCACGGTTCTCCTGGCTGACTGTGATGTCCGTGGGCGCTCGAAGGATAGTCCAGAGCCTGGGTGGGGGGACGCCTGACTGTCGGGGCACACAAAGGACCGCCCTCTCTAGCGCCCCTCCGGCTGGCTTTTGCCCACCTTGCTTTCCGGTAAAACAGGTAGAGCTCGACAAAATGCTCCAGGAGCACAGGTCTCTCTCTCGTCGGTGTTGTTCCTCGCAGTCCCAGGCATCATGTGCAACCAAAACACCCAAGGACGATCTGCAACCACCTACCTAAATTGAAGATTCGCCGCCCGTGTCGGCGTGCACGAGGGTTTGCTTTATTCGGAACTTGCCCCCCTCTCCGTGTGGCCTCCCTAAGCCCACCTCCTTAATTCCACCAACCAAAAGGGCAATTGAGCTACGTCGTAATCGCAGAGCAGAGGTTCACGAAAAATGATAAAAAAGGTTCCGAACCTCCCCCCGCGGGGTTGCGGAACCTTCTCCCCCTTGCCAAGGGGAGGGGGGAGAGGAGGATACACCCCCCACCCTCCCTGCCCAAGCGCGTGTGAAAAGCGCTCTTTCCAATCGCATCGAAAAGGATTTCGCATTTGCGTGCGAATGAACCCCCTTCTCTTTAGTCCGTTCTCCGTCGGGCAAATTTTAATGCTCTTAGGGGACTCCCCAACAATCTTGGAAGCTCCAAAACGGCACAAGAGGCCCCCATCACTAGCCTAAGACGGCCCAGGTGGTCCCCAAGATCGGCCTCACGAAGCTCGCAAAACGGCCCCAGGATGGGACCACACGCGGCACCGCCGCGTAGATAAAAGCCAGCCCATCCAACGTGGTCTTAAGATCCCAAAGAGGCCCACAGAGGCTCCCAAGAGGCCTCAGCACGCCCCAAAATGTGCCCTGAAGGCCGCCCTCAGGGGCCCCCAAAAGCCACAAAAGAGATCCCATCAGGCCTCCAGAACACAACCCACGGGCCGTCGCGGCAACAGCCGAAGCCTAATAGTTCTTCGCCCCCGCATCAACCCTGCCACAGCCCCTTGAGCTCTTTACCACTTCCGCATCCTGTCTTGCGCCAGGACTCTGTGGCAATCATGGGAGCCTCCCATGCCGTCTTGTTGGCTCTTGCGAATCAACGCTGGCCGACGCGAGTCGATGCTCATCGACCCGTAATCGGCGCGAATTGGGAGCTTCTTCGTCGATTACCATACGCAAGCGCACGCTGTTGCTCTAACGACGGAATCTCGAGGACATACGGGGCTCCCATGAGATGCAACCGAACAAGCCCGCCACCGCTGCTTTGCCTCGTCCCTCTTTCAACCTCTTGCCTTGCGTCCAGGGCTGTTCTCTTTCCAGGGCAGGCGCACCCAGCCACCAGGCTTCTGCACTCACAGCACTGACCCTGCTTGGGCTCCCCATGCTATTCTGTCCAACCCGCTCTCCTCTGGCCCGCCCTCCCGCCGGTGTCCTGCTACAGCCCACGGCTCCCCCGCATTCTTGGCCCGCTGAGCCATGGTGAAAATCTGGAAGAGCCGAACGTAATCCTTCAACAGCCCTTCCTGGGGGGAGGGAGGCCGGAGTCGGGGCCCATCCTAGGCAACTCCCTCGACACCCTACACCAGCTCTGGCCTCCAGCAGTCATAGGCCCTCGCAAACTACATCGGATCCTCTCCCCCAGGGCCGCGATCTCCGCGCACACAAGTGATCATCGGTTCAACGGCCACGAATCCTTTAATACTTGAAAGGCCAACGAACCCAGAGTTGAGATGGGACAGCTGCCAAGCCACCGCAAGAACATGTGTCCACCCTTGGCCTCCTCAATTCTGGTGTGCACTGTGTGATATCAATGGTGTGTTTGCTGTACGTGCTGCCGAATACGGAAATCATTGTGTGATGCATATTGTACGTGTTCACAAGTTCTGAGAGAACGTGATCCACCCCAACATCACTGTGGAAAATTCCCCCCTCTTCCTCCGGAGCCCGGGCTCCCCCTCCCCCCCGGAACCTGGGGGTCCCGCCCCCTCCGACCCCCCCCCCCTGCTGGACCCCCCCCCACCTTCCTCCCCGCAAGACACCCCCTTCCCCTATTCCACCCCCCCTCCGGGGGGTTCACTACCAATTCGTACCGCCCCCCCCCCCGCCTACGGGGTCCCTACGGGTTCGAACCCCTCCCTCCTCCCCCCCGCCAGAAAACCAAAAAAGGGGGTCATTACCGGTTCGAACCCCTGCCAGCCCTCCAGAAAACGGGGGGGGGGCCACTACCGGTTCGAACCCCTGGTCCCTACACTGTCCTCACCACCACTGTCCCCGCTGCTCCCACCACCGTCCCCACTGTCCCCGACAGTGCCCCCACCACTGTCGCACTGTGCCCACTGTCACCACCACTGTTCCCACCACGGTTCCACACTCCCCGCTTTCTCCACGGCCCCAACCACTGTCCCACTGTCCCACTGTCCCACTGTCCCCGCTGCTGTCCCACTGAGCTGTCCCACTGTTCCCACCATTGTCCCCGCTGTCCCCACCACTGTCCCCACTGTACCGCTGTCCCATTGTCCCACCGCCGTCCTCGCCACCGCCCTCACCACTGTCCCCACCACCACTGTACCCTCCACTGTCCCACTGTGTCCACCACGTTCCCACTGTCCCCACACCACTGTCCCCACCACCACCGTCCCCACCACTGTCCCACTGTCCCCACTGTTCCCACCATTGTCCCCGCTGTCCCGACCAGTGTCCCCACCAGTGTCTCACTGCCCCCACTCTCCCCACCAATTGTCCCACCACAGTCCCACTGTCCCCACTTTCCCCACCACTGTACCCACCACTGTCCCACTGTCCCCGCCGCTGTCCCACTGTGCTGCCCCACCCTCCCCACTGTCCCCATCACTGTCCCACTGTCCCACTGTCCCTACCACTTTCCCCACTGTACTGCTGTCCCACCAACCACCGCATTCACCACTGTCCCCACCACTACCGTCCCCACCACTGTCCCAATGTCCCCACCACTGTCCCGCTGTCCCCTCACCACCGTCCCCACCACCACCGTCCCCACCACTGTTCGCACCACTGTCCCACTGTCCCCGCCACCGTTCCCACCCAGCATCCCCACCATTGTCCAACTGTCCCGAGGAGCGGGAATCGTTTGTCGGCGGCCGCGGGGGGGAGGGGTTCGAACCGGTAGTGACCCCCCCAGTTTTCGAGGAGGCGAGGGGAGGGGGGGAGGTCGAAGCTGTAGTGACACCCCTCCTTTTCATGATGGACTGGGGGGGGGAGGGGTTCGAACCGGTAGTGACCCCCACCCCCTGGTTTTCGAGAGGCGGGGGGGGGACGGGTTGGGAACCCCCAGTGACACCCCCCGGTCTTCCGCCAACAGCGGTAGAGCTCTTTCCCAGTTGTGCTATGTTGTGCTGCGTGACTGTTGTGTTCTGCGCGTGGTGTTGTGTATTGTGTTGTGTGCTGCGTACTGTGATGTATGAGATGCGCGTGACCCCTGAAGCATGGCGCGTGGCGTGTGCATCGTCTGCAATGTGTCACATGCTTGGTGATCTTGTCGAGCGATCATGTGAATGGTGTGCTGCGGGTGATGCCTCGTGCGAGTTGTGTCAATGCAACTGGTACCATATGTCTAACGTGTTGTGTTCGTCATGCGTGTTGTGTGTGTGTGTTGCTATGTTTGCGCGCGCGTATGTGTGTGTGTGCGTCTATTTCGTGGATTGGGTGTTTTGTTCACTTTGTGGGCCAGGTTCTGCCGTGCTGTGTGCTGCGTGTGTAATGCTGATGTTGAAAGGCCAACTATCCTCTCCGTGCAAGCCGAATCCCACACCCCGCGGGCCCACGCCACGTCCCAACACTAGATGCGTACGAATCATGCTGGAAGCGGCCCTCCGTCAGGGCGGGACAGATGCACAATCGATTGGCATAATCCTGGCGATGAGTGTTTTCGGCTGCAGATGTTCTTGGAGGGTGAGGGAAAGGGGTGGAAGGCCCGAATAAGCGAGTCAAACACATCAGTCGCTGCTGACTCAGGCTGGTACACGCACACGTCGTTGCGAACTTGCCTGTGAATCGATGGGGCAACAATGCTGATGCAAAGCCCGTGCATTGAAGGCAACAACACGCAGCCACGATCAGTGAACACAACCAATGACAGTAATAGCACGCGAAATAGACAGCACGCAAGCAATCAACGCTACACCAATATCAATTGGAAATCACATTGAACAATCAAGATTAAGCAATACCAAGCATCAACAAACTTTGGCAACCGAAGGTATGGCACTACAAAACGCGAACGACACTGCCACTCGTCCTTGGTCTTCAAGGATACTCTCCGGATGGTTTTCATGTCCTTCTTCTTCTCGATGGAGTTGCGCACGGTGAACCTGCATGCGAGCAAGAATATGGCATGATTGTGCTGTGACGCTTCGGCACTATGCTGCTCACTTTCGGTTGTCCAGAAAGTGTGCCCAACTGAATTGTGGCACCGCATACCCAACGAATCCTGACATAACGGGTGCGCTGGGCCAAGGACCAGGCACATGCCGCGCCAACCGTCGATCCAATCCTTAGTACTTAGTCTTAGCGTTTTGACGGGTCAACATAGAGGAGACACTGTCTATATTCGATCATGTTCTCCTCATTGAGCGCATTCCGACGAAACGAACCTGAATCCAATGAACCTGTCTCTTGCAGGAGCACGGGAGGGAAGCTGTGGCACCTGGGAAGGAGGGCGACGATTACGACAAGGGAGGAACTCAATGGGAACGAAGGGAAAGAAAAGGAGGGACAACAATACTGAAATCCGCAGGCCCCTTTGTGGGGCCACCAGGCTGTAGGCCGAAGTTGCTGCTGCATGCACTAGTTGCAATTGCAAGTCTCCAATGTGACAATCCTGGCTGCTGCTTCCTACTGTGAATTGTTGAAGTCCGCCCGAATGGAGGGAGCCAAAAACAAGTAATTGACCACCCTCGGGTCGCGTGCTCTGAATTCCCCGGGGGGGGCGTGGGACACGTGAACACATACATGATATTCGCGCCTTTGATGCCGTAGCCAATGTCAATTACACAATGTCTGTCTGTATTGCTTTGCATCGTGCCGCAATCATGTGGTATCTCACTCGGGAGAGTTGTGTGTGCTGATGAATGTTGGTGTGGTTTGCGTCTCAATGGCATGATGTGTCTCGTTGTTGTACGCGTGGAGTTGGAATGATGTCGTTAGCGTGGTTTCGGTTTGTAGTGCAGTGCAACGAACTGTATAATAGTGTGTCGACTGCATTGGTTTGAGCTGCACTGCAATGGTATTGCGATGACAAGTAACTTATACTATGTAATGCTTCACGATGCACAACAACGCGATGTATGGCAAACCGATGGAATTATAACCCAGTGCAGCACACAAGGCAACACATCGTGAAACACTACCTTGCCATGCAGTGTAACGCTGCAAGGTCTTGAAACGGTTCAGGGTCTTGAAACGGCTGTCTCCCAATGAGGCAGTTTCCTCAGTGGAGTTGAACCCGTGCTGGGGCCGGTGAATAGGGAGCTCGGAGGGAGGGTTTATTACAAAATCGTTGAGAGTCTTGGGTTTGCACTGTCTTTCCTCCTTCCTCCTCCTCTCCTTCTCCTCCTCATCCTGCTCCTCCTCGTCCCATCTCTCCCCCTAATGCCTGCTGCCCTCACAGAAGGGAGTCACGGGGCCTCCTGAGGAAGATGGGCACCACGTAGAACAGCTGCGCGTCGCAAGCGGTGGAACGCAGAGGGAAGGGTACGGCAGGTTCGCGTCGTTTCGACCCGGGCGTTGTTTTCTGACACCGCGGGGATCGTTCAACCTTGAACGATCCGCGGCTTATCCAAAAAAATCTGCCGATTGTGGGTCGCTGGCGGCGTTAAACGTTGGCGGGGTTAACGCGAGCCTATCGTAGGTGGCTGTGGGAGCGAGGGCGCGGTGTTGCGGTGTATGGCAAGGCGAGGTGTAGAGCAAAGGAGAGGATCAGACGAGAAGGGGAATTAGGAAACGGGCAGGCGAATGAGTAAGTAGACGAGAAGACAGCAATGCGCAGATAGCCCCACAAAATGGAGGTTCGCGATCGCCATCAAGAACGCCGAAATCAACTGGCCGCTTCCAAAGGTCCGCCACCGTGCCCTGGGGCTTGAGATTGAAGGTCCTCAGGTCCCTTGAGCTCTCCGTCCTGATAACGAAAGATATAAAGAATCTTGACCTCAAATTCTTCAATTGACGGACACTTCCCGCATGCCAGGTCGTCTTCCCGAATGACTTTTTGGAGGCCAAGAGGGCCCAACAAAGGATGAATAAGGCCCCACGGCGGGGGGGGGCGCCCAAGACTGTCTAAGAGGGCCCTGGCTCGACCCAAGAGCGCTCAGAAATGCCCAAGATGGGAAGGCTCTTGGGGGGAGCCCCAAGAGCCTTCCCAAGAGAGCCCCAGCTGAACCAAACCTATTGATACGTATTCCTTATGCTTGTTTAGCGATTTTGGCGTTCTCGCCTGTCCGGGAAACTGATGGTCTAAGACGGTCCAAGAGGCCCCCAAGACCCCACAGGCCCCCAAGACGGCCCGAGAGAGCCCCGAGGGGGGCCCAAGCGAGGCCCCAGAGGGGAAACACGCACTGGCATGTCGAGACTTCCGCCCCAAGAAAACTCCGAGATCGCCAGCATCCCCAAGGGGCCCGCAAAGCCCCAGGAGGCCCCCAAGAGATTCAAATCAGGCCCCACGAGGTCCCTAAGAGACTCCCGAGACGCCCCGAAACACCACCAAAACCGGCTACAAGAGGCTGCCGAGAGGCCCTCCAAGAATCCCCACAAGCATCAACGAGGCCTCCGAACTACAGCCTAGGCGAGCGGTCCGGCCCACGCATCGGGTCGACAGATGGAACTGGATCGACACGAACCTCGAATCGGCAAGCATCGGCTGACGACCGGCTGCACCATCGGATCGACAAAATCAACAAAACCGAACCAAATCGAATCGGATACTGGTAGGACAGACGCTGGATCTGCATCGGAATCGGAAAGGGGAAACAACTAAGATATGTCGCACCTGTCGCATTCGTCGTCGAACTCGCCGACAAACGTCGTCCGACTCGTGACTGCCACTAGAATCGACGTGTCGGTCGTCTGGCTCGCGACTGCAACCCCATTGGTACGAATTCCAACCATCCGATGAGAAATTCGAACCATCCTCTATGAGAAGCGTCGTACGGACGTCTTCGAGGCGTCCTGCGGGCGTCTAAGGGGCGCCACACGAGCGTCGTACAGGCGTCTTAGAGGCGTCATACGGGTGAATTCGAGGCGTCGTACGGGCGTCTTGGAGGCGCCATACAGGCGTCTTAGAGGCGTAGTACGGGCGTTCTCGAGGCGTCGCACGGGCGTCGTTGAGGCGTCATACGCGCGTTTTCGAGGCGTCGTACGGGCGTCTTAGAAGCGTCGTCGAAGCGTCTTAGAGGACGGCGCGCCTACCCCGGATGGGTGGGATGAGAATGATGTTGCTGCCGCTGATGCTGCTGATGATGCGGATGATGATGATGATGATGATGGTGGTGGTGATGATGATGATGATGATGGCGCAGCCCCTTCAAACTCCAGATCCCCAGGAGCGCATGTCAGCGTTGAAACAGAGCTCGGATGTGAGGTTTCCGCTTCGAGATAGCCCTCGCACGAGCTTTGTAAAAAGGAGAGTATGCATTCAGGGCCGAACCGTTTCAAGCTCCTGAGAGAGTTGAACGTGCTGAATAAAAAATCGTGAGCAAGCATGGTAGAGTACAAGGCGGGTGAGGAATGCGTATTATGACTGTGAAGCAGCAAGCGGTCCAGGGCCGTCCAGGGGCAGAACTAGACAGAGCGGCTCGAGGACACAAGGGCAACCAAAATCGTGGAGGATCTGGTCCCCACCACACGCTCTGCATCCGAACAGACAGGCATCCCGCCCCTGACGATATCTGGCACTGGTGGCCCAAGAGTTACAGACACCTTTCAATACAGCAACGCCCACAAATGGGGAAAGTTTAGTGTTGGCGAGCTTGACACGCATTACAACTAAATCAGCCTTGGGAAGCTGGGCAGCGTTGTCAAAATGTCTGATACGAGGGAGGAAAGCTAGATTGACAAAGATTGGTGTCTGCCTACGGCTCAGTAGGGTATTCACTTTTTCTGCAGCATGTCTGTGTCGGGGTCATATATCACCATGGGAATAACAGCCAACTGGTTGTAGTTGGTAATCAGAGAGTAGCATATACGGGATTCGTACCACTCTGTGTGACGTAGAACTGCAAGTCGATCAGTCCCCTCGTGTTCCTGCCAAGCAAACCTTCCTCGCACTTCGGAGAACCATTGGGATATAAGGGCAACCCGATGCACACTGGCTCTGGATTCTCCCTGGAGGCCTTCGGAATCATGGGGAAAACAGAGCGCCGACGGGGACCTCAGAATATTGGCAGGAATGGAATGTCTGGGAGCGGATGCAAGAAGCTGGTGGGCTTCTTTTTCTTTTTTCAATACAGCCGCAGGAGCCTGGTACATCTGGCCCACAAAGCTGAGCACGGAGAAGGCCAGCGAGTTGTACGCAATGATATTCTGACATAGCCCAAGGGAAAGACCTTTGATGTGCCAGACTCGCTTGATGTATTTGGTCCCAGGAGCGCCCCGCGACACCGTGGGCCCCATCGGGCCGATGTAAACGCCCAGATACTTGCCGAATGCATCAATCCGATACGGCCTAGTTTGAATGCCAGAAACACAAAACATCTCACGCACATCTCTTCTGGAGTATGGCACAGCAAATACCAGCGAGCACTTACCTGGGTTCAAGATCCGGCCCGTCACCGACGCGGCCTGTGAGAGCAATCTGAGCACGATGGGGAGCGCGCGGACAAGGGCGCTAGAAACAATGCCAATGTCGTCCGCGAGTGCAAACGGGCGTGCCATGGGAGTCATCGCTGGGTACATGCACCTGAAAATCGGCTAAACAGCTAACGCAAATAGTACGCCAGATAGCGGACATCCCTGCTTGATACCACGTGTGATATAGTAGCCTGTGAATGTGCCTCCTCCAAGTCTGATACTTGTGTAGATATCACCATACAGTTGTTGTGCAGCGTCCACGACATACTCAGGGATAAGCATATGTTGAAGTACTGTCCGGAACCGAGCACGCGCTAAGCTCGGGAAAGCAGCGGCAAAGTCAAGCAAAAAGAGGCCAGCACGATCAGCCCCTTGAAACACTGCGCGCTTCAAACAGTCAGACTCTATCAGCATTAGGTTGTCTAGCATGCCCAGTCTGATTCCTGCGAATAGAAGACTGTGCCCGCTGTCCAAGGGAATACTCAGCTGCGAAGCGAATGTCTTATTATCAGTATTGCCCAAAAATAAAGGACGGGTCTCCATTGCTTTTCTCTGCACGTCCCTCAGGGAGTCGTCCTCGAGATTCTTGGCCAGGAAAACCGCGGCCCCATGGTTGAAGCCTCCAGGAAGAGGGTGTCCAGACATAAAACTCAAATGCGCTTGGTATAAGATTTCCTTACACTCGAAGCTACACTTTGCCCAGCCTGAGTAAGGGATGCCATCGGGACCCGCCGCCGCGTCTTTCTTGTGACGAAGAAATCCGAGCATGTCAAAAAGCAGAACAACCCAGTCGATCCCAGGAGAAACTTCCCGGCAGCGCGCAAGAGCATCTCTGAAATGCGCAGGGGCACGTTCGCCGCATCAGCGGCGGTATGCACGCGGCCCCAGTGTTCAGCAAGTCTGGCGGCGCTGTCCTCTAGACTGGTGGGCGCGCGCCCTTGGTTGCCCAGGATGCCCGCGAGCGAAATGCGCCTGTGCTTGGGAGACCAGGCCTTCAAAAGTTTGTGCAGCTTGACTGCGCGCTCGTCGTCGAACTGGTACTCAGGGGACTGCTCGTGCTCGCGTAGTTCTGGAACCAGGATGCGCTCTTGTATGACACGGATGTGCTCGTGGAACCTCTCCTGATCTATGATGTGCTCGTGCTGCTCATCTGTGAACTGCGCAATTTGGTCGCATGCGCGTGCACACTTACGTATGATGTGGCTTTGACCGTTCGTACTTGCACGCGTGCATTTTAAACAAACCATAAGACGATGAGTATCCGCTTGTACACCATATCGATAAATGCGTGACTTGATATCCGCCGTCGCTATGTGCATGCACTCGTTCATCTCTTCTAGCGCGAGGAGGGGGTCCGTGGAGAGGTCAATTTGGGCCCGAGCTTCATCCACCAGTCGTGCAAATTCTGGATGCGCGGTCACCCAGGAAAGAATACTGGCCTGGGACCGAAGCCCCGGGAAAAAGCCAACGAAAACAGGAACATGATCACTCGGTTCACCGGCGTTCAAGACGCGCCCAATGATTCCAGCAGTAGGCTTGGTCTCCAAAACAGTTGCTGTGGCAGCAAAAGTATATGCGCGATCAATGCGTCCCAGAGACTGGATACCTTCCCCAAGGTCCCCTGTCCTATGCGTGGGCTCGTCTTGCGCCAGCTCGAGCGCGCTCGGGGGGAGGTCGCGAAAGCGCCGCGGGAGGGCAGGGCGTTCAGGACGCTGATATTCACCATCAGTCCTGATTCGGGTCTCTCCTGATTCTAGGAAGTTAAAAACGCCCGCAAGGAAGGTCAAACACGAATTGCTGCGAGGGAGGGTCTCAGCGATTTTCTCGAGGGAAAAAAATCCCGGCATCATTGAGAACGGGATCGTGGTGGACATTGTACACTTTGAGGTCGCCCTGAGGTCCTTGGAGAGAAAGAGCGAGAAGACGGCCGCGTACATGCTCGCAGTGTTCCACATTCGTGAAGTTGGCAAGGAAAGAGTTGGCCGCGCTGATCGTAGCTCCACCCGCATTCGGGTTCTCACAAAATGTGCCGAAGTGCGTGTGCATGGGATAATCCCCGCGCAGGGTCTCGAGGTCAGAAGATGTTCCGTGTGTTTCTTGCATGAATATAATGGTTTGTGATTTGGTAAGAGTGCGGACCTGCGAATCCGTTTTCTCTGCCGCATGTGATCACCGCACACACTTCCAAAGAAGGCTCTTGAATTCCATGTGTTTATCGCAAAGTGCTGCTCAATCTGCCACGGACATTCAATGAGAATGTCTGCGCTGCTGCCCGAGGAGGGTGGAGGAGGAGAACTGCACTTAAATCGCTCCCCAAGACTGCGGGCGGGAGGGAGTATCAGCAGTATTTGCAAAAACAGATGCGGCAGCATCGGCATCTTCAACAGAACATGGCGCGCCTAATTCCTACTCGTGGAAGGCTCTGTTGACCGCGGCTGGCAAGTCCTGGACCTGCTGCTCTGCGAGGCCGAAGCAGCGCAGCTCCTGGGCGCACGTCTCGACCACCGCTTCGGATTCCGTTCAAGACGAGAGCATCACCAAATCGATCGGCTCGTCGCGCACGGTGGTGTAGCAAAGGCCCTGGTACTTGTTGCAGGCGAGCGCTGTCGTAGGTGTCCAGCAGCCGTTCGTGCGCATGTAAGCGCATATCTGCTTCCAGATGAGCCCAAGGATGTAGCCCTTCTGCCTTGATGTCATACGGCTCGTCGAAGCCGATGCGCAAGTCATGTTGCGTGCCACTTGAGGCTTGGGTGAACTTGATAGGGTGGTCCCGGGCCCGCTCGTAGAAAGACTTTGCGTGCTCCCGCGAGTCAAATTTGATAGCTTATGCGAAACATAAGCTCTGACAGTGTGGTACACATGTATCGCGATACTCCTGCGGCATATTGGTTTTGAGGATCGCTAAGTGTCGTTCAAATACAATATTCAGCTGCTTCTTTGGAAATCCACGAATCCATATCTTCGTCTTGTCAGCAGGCACTGTAGGTCGCACCGTGGATGGAGTCGTGGATGGAGGAGCAATCGAGCGACTCGATGCCGAGCCACGTACGGCGGCCCATGGGCCTGAGAGTGGCTGGCCCATTTTGCGCTGCATCTCCGCGAAGCTAGCCTAGAGACTTTGCAATCTCGCTGTCGCCGAATATGCGCTTGCCATCCCATCGACCTGCTCCATCTCAGTATATGCTCCCTGCTGCTGTCTCTGAAGTTTGAGCTCAAGTTCGTCCATGCGCACGCTATGAGCCTGAATGTCATCCTTCATGGAGTTGATGGTGGCTGTGTTCTGCTGAACCCCTGCAGGGAGCCGTCCATCCATCTCTTTGATAGCCGTCAGGTGGCCAGCGAGCGATGTGTTCATCGAGTTCATCTGGGCATTTATCGGCCGAAGAGTCTCATTCAGCATGATCCGTAGAGCCGCAGGGTCGGGAGCCATCGCGCCGATGGAGAGCTGCAAACTTTGATGGGTACGGTACACAGGAGGCAAAATGCGTGTGGCTGACATGCGAAATAAATGCAGAGACCCCTGTCCTTGGGGCCTCTCGAGGGTCACTTACGCGCGCGGCGGGCGCTGGCCACTTGAGTCGGGGGGTAAGAGTTCCCGAAATGGCCTTGAGCCAAAATGGCTACATATGATGATGATGATGATGATGATGAAGATGATGACGAGGGCCAGAAGATGATGGTGATGATGGTGATGCTGCTGATGCTGATGGTGGTGGTGATGATGACTGTGATGGTGATGGCGATGATGAATCCGAGAGGCTTGAAACCTCTAACTTTCTAACCCCTGAGAACCTTTAGCCCGTAAGCCCTCAAACCCTTAAACGAAACCAGTAAAACATTAAACTCTGAAGCCCCAAAACTCTTGATCCCTTTCAAACCACATATATCCTCAAACGCCTAAGCCCTTACCCCATTTAATCCCTTAAGCCCTTAAACCCGGGAACATTTAACCATTTACAATGTCAGATCAACCCTGAAAACCTTGAGCCCTGGAACCCGTAATATTCTAAACCTTCATACCTTAAGCCCGGAAGCCCTTGAAGCCCTTCAGCCCTTACCCCCTTTAACTTAACCCTTGAGTCCTTTAAACAACCTCCCTTTAATGAACCTCCCTTTAATGAAAACGGCCTCAGCCCAAAACCGACGGACATGGACCCGCAAAAATGACGGACACGACGCCCTGTCGCGAACCGAAAACGGCCATTTCGCACATCGACGTGTCAGGGTCGGAAGTCTACAACCTCCGATACAATAGCATCCCTGGACAGACCTGGTACAAATCTCAACCAGGGCAAGCATGTTAGCTTCTTGAAGAACTTTGCAAACATAAACGGGTTATTTGTTTTGAGATACCCCAATATCGCCTTACAATTTGAATCATACACTGACGTTATTTGGCCGGTTGGAATTAAGACCAATTTGTCTTTTCGAGTCAATTGGAAAATGTACCAGTCGGTCGGGATTAGTCCCAGTCGGTTGGAATTATTACCGCATGCGGATGACGGGGGGTGAACCCTGCCTGTGGGACCCCTCGTCGGGCCCCTCGTCGCACCGCCCTTCAGACCCCTCGTCGTCGTACCCAGCGGACCTCAAGCTCGTCGTCGCACCCGCCGCACTCGTCGTCTTACTCGTGGCACTCGTCGCACGAGCTCTCAGCCGACGGACCGACAGGAAATCGACAAACTTCGGGTGACACATCGAATTGGCCCGGCACTGGATCGAATAAGATCGAAATCGGAAATGCATACCGGAATGCCTGCATCGGGTCGGATCGAATCGGAACCCTGAAATTCGTTTCGAATCAGCCTGGTGGAGTCGGAAAGCGCCCTGACCTAAACACGGTGGCGGGATGGGCCGACGGCCACCAGTATGTCCCTCTGAACGTGCAGACCCCGATAAGCCTAGCCCACCCGCATGAAATCCTGGCCGTGCCTAGCCTCTGGCTCCAGTCTGACTGTCCCGCTCAATTCAATATTCAATGTGTGCCTCTTGCCTCCGGCTGTTGCGTTTCGCCTCGCTCCGCCACAACGGCCCTGCCTGCAGAAATCCACTGGGCACTGCGCCGAGAAAGTCCCCAGTATGCTATCTGAAATCTTAGACTTCGTGAGATTTGGCGACTGAGCAATTGGAGACAATGCTTACTCTTGGTGGGGGAAAGGGCAGATCCAAGAGGCAAGCTGTGCGCGGAGATGCTGTGCCCAATCAGCGACAAGCAGCGTCTCCGAGAGTGGTACCCTCTACCTCAGACTGTGCTTTGGAGATGCAGGGGGGGGACACAGGGGGAAGGGGAGGCGCGAGGGACTGGCAGCACAGCGAGTGCGGAGAAGCAGGCACCATGATCGGCCACTCCACCCACGCGAGCGAGTAGAGCGCGATTTCCAAGTTGTTCTCGGGTGCGCGCCGACGCGAAGTCTGGAGGATGGACGGCTGAGAGGAGGGGCGGGCATGAGAGGGCACGTGTGTGGCGTAGAAGGCAATGCGGGAAGAGGAGACCGTTGATCAAAGCAAAGGAGATTATCTGGGCCATGGGGTCCACACAGCCCCCGGACAGCCAACCTCGCGGCGTCGATCGCCTGCACACGCCTGCGGCCGAGATCGCTGATGCAGGCTGTTTCTGGCATTCAGCCCCGCAGCGCCCAGGCGAAGGCATCGCCTGCGTGCAGTTCCTCTCCTGCGGGGGCTAAAGCGCAGCGCTTCTGTGCAACGGGCCCCGAGAGCGTGCAATTCCTCATCCCAGCCCTGGGGAGGGCAGGAGTGCAGAGAAACGATCGAAACGATCCCAACTGGACAAAAGGACGGAAGAAATGTAACTGGGTATGTATGCCAGTGCCCTCAATCACCGTGAGTGCTCCTTAGCCTCTTCTCAGAAGCGCGCACGGTCTCCAAAGCTCCTGGTCGATGTCCCTGCCCATCTTTGCCGACGGATCGAGCGAAACGGCCCTCGCCGGTCCTGGTCGAGCTATCGAGCAGATCGGCCAAGCCCAAGAGACCTCGCAGATCTGTGGCGCGCCTGGTCATTCCTTTAACAGCCGACGCCCCACTGCATATGAAAACCCAGGGACAGCTAGGTTGCAGCAGAGGTCGAGGCAGGAAGGGAGGGAAGAAGGGAACAAGGGACGAGAGGGGAGGGGGCACGAATGGCCAAACCTGCATTTCGCCGCCACGCCCGCGGACCGCTCCAACGACCCGGCCACCAAGACGGGCTCCGAACCCTCGTCCTCCATCGCACCACCCCCCCCCCTGCTGCCGGGCGTCCGCCGCTCCACCACACTCTTTTGCCGCGGCGACCTGGAACCACGACGCGGTCGGGGCAGCCGAGGGACGCTTCGGGGCCACGCTGGGCACAACGGGAGCGGGAGAGGCGCGGAGGGGGGAGGGAAAGCCGCGGGCGGCGGAGGCACGCTCAGAACATGACGTTCTGATGCGCGTGTGCCGGAGCGCAGCAGGCTTACACGGGCAGCGCCGCTCCGCCCACACACACGGTTCATGGCAGAGTCTCATCTAGGCATGACGCATCTCGTGATGCGACGGCTATCCCCCGAGTCCCACGGCCCTGGACGCCCTGGGACCCGGGCTGCGCGATGGCATCGCGTTTCCTTTCTTCCTCTTCTCCCTTCTCCTCGTCGCAACGATTCGCGCCTTGCCGCAATCTCCCTCCGTCTCCCCGCCACTCGAAAGTAGCAAGACATGAGTAAGAGAAAGGAGATCACAGCATCGGCAAGTACCCCCACAGCCAGCACGACTGACTCTCTTCAGCCCCCGCCATGACAAATCTGACTGCCACCCGCTCCACGCATCCGTCCAACAACGAGCACAGGAGCGGGGAGCTGCCAATCTATATATATATATATATATATAAATAATGATATATACGTACACACAGATCTATGAGTATATATATATATGCGTATACATACACAACCCGCCCTGATGCCAGGATAACAATAGGATGAAAGCTGCCTCGCCCTGCGGGCAGGAGCAGACGCAGCCAAAGACAAGAGGAAGGAGGGGGAAAGGAGGGGGGGCGGGCAAGGCGTGCCGCCGCGGGGCTCGTCCTCGAAGGGCTCCGAGAGAAGTGTGACGATGAGGGAGGTGACAACGCACGCCTGGCGGGCGAGGGCCAGGCCCAGACTACAGACAAGGGGCAGGTGGAGGACGGGCCATGTGACCTCCCAACAGATACGGTCCGAAGGGCTCGATAAGAGACGGCATGATCAGATGAACGCTCCCTCCGTTATCCCCACTTCCCCGTCGCTGGCTTCGTTCTTCACTCCTGATGTTTATGTATACTCCTGATTGATAGATCGATACATGTATAAAGAAAGATACGTATATATTCCTTGTCGTCCTCGTGGTCCTTGTCCCCAAAGCGCGTGCACAATCATCGACATCGCGATGAAAGGAAACATCAAACTTAGCCCATGATCTTCGTTCATCCTAACTGCACTGGGCGAATGATTGCAATTTTAAACTCGGCGTCTTGGTAAAAATGTTGGTTAGCGCTTCAGATCCCAAGAACAATATTCAACGCCGGAACAAATATTACTTGTTTGTTGTGCGTTGTTAGCCTCGTGTTCTGGCGTCTTCAAATCAATTAATTGCGAAATTGACATTATCGTCTACGACGTCCTCCTTTCCTTTCCATTGCGTCGAATCCTCCCAAGATTACAAATATCCCTCATCCTTCTCTCAAGCTGTTCTTGCTGGCTGGTCGCGGGCCCTCCAGGCCTGTTTCGACCCGGTGCTAGACTGGTGTTCGGGCCTTTGTTTTACGCTCTTAGCTCTGAGCGCGGAGCGGGAGGAACGGGAGGCAGCAGGAACGAGAGAGCGGGAGCGAAAACGGCAGGGAAAACAAGGAATTCGCCGACCCAATGGGCCAGAGGCGTGCTAAGATCTCCGGTAACTACTGAACAATATTTCTAGTTCGCGCGCGCGGGGCGGCCCCTGGGGGGCCCCGGACGAAAAGAAACCCGGCCGATCCCCGGCTGATCCCCGGGCCATCCCCAGGGGGGAGGCTATTTTTCGCCACCCCTCACAAGGATCGTGGCCTCCGAGGGGGGGGGCTGCCAACGACTACCCCCCCTCCCGCCCCAAGGGGCCCCCAAGAGGCCCCAGGGGAGCCCAATACGCCGCCAAGGAGCCCCAGGACGCTCCCAAGAAGCCCCCAAGACGGCCCCAAGAGGCCCCAAATAGCGCTCCAGGGCCGGCGGAATGAACGAAGCGATTAAATAATCTTCGACAAGAAAGCTGCATACGCTAAAACAAATATGATCCACAGCGACGGGCCTGAAAACGCTAACAACAACTACCTACAAACGCTAAAACACATAACGCTATTGAGCGTTGTTCGCCTGCCGAGCGCCCACTGTACAAAACGATAAAACAGCGCCCAGGGCGTCTCCAGGTTGAACCAAGACTATGATGCACGGAACAAAATACTGTGTGCCTACGACTTCAGGACCTCAGGATATGGGAATGCATCTGCCAACTGACTACAAGCCAACCTTCTGCGACAACTTATGGAAACCGCCCACATCATCTAGTTGGCTCTTGCGAATCGGCGCTGATCGATGCTGAATCGACGCATCTCGACGCTAGATCGACCATGATTCTGCGCTTTCTCGTCGATTACCTGACGCTGACCGGCGCTGGCGCACTTTACAAACGGAATTACATGGAGATCCGAGGCTCCAATGATCTGCTACCGGAGCCAACTCTCAACGGGCCAACCTGCAGGCCCGCCACCCTCGAGGACTCCCCAGGAAAGACACGCCGCCTGCCAGAAGGCGATGATCTGGAAGGCCCTCTGGTACGTCGACCCCTTCAGGCCAGTCATGCTGACCCTGGCCAGGCTGCGTCCGCGCCCGCACGACACATGCGACGATGATCGGCGGCGAGCCCAGGGGGGATGCAGAGGGGGCGGCCTTCTCACAAGGCTCGGGCATTCTGAGAAATGCTCCAAGCCTTCTCCGAAGACGCGAAAAATCCACCAGAAGGCCAGAGGGCTTCTGAAAAGACCTGCCGCCTGCTGAGCAGGCCAGCGGCGGTGTTGACGCTCCCCCTGGACAAGCCGCCGAACGACTGATGTGATGATGAAACGCATGTCCGAAAAGGTCGTTCACGTGACCTGGGACGCGCACGCACGAGCGGCACGACGTTGCTGCAAGGGAGCGTTGCCAAAGGGCCACACACACACAACTTTCATGTACATGCGAATGTCCAGCAAGCGCAGCACATGATCTTCACAAAAGACATTAACAACTACGACGAATTGAGTTGCGCTGGTCAATGCGGAACGATGCCCGAGCATGGAATTTGTTATCCCACAATTGTCCGTACCCGCCTCCATACCCGTATCCAAATAGCCGCACCCAGACCGGCCGTGCCGTCCACACCCGCATCCGAATACCCCGTCGATAATTGCAACTGCATCAGACCCAACAATCTAATATTTTGCACGCCTGGGAAGGGTACGGAACTATTGGGTAGAGCGCATAACAACATAATCCGTCTACAATGATAGTATGTTGGACACTGGCCAGAGAGCCCCGACCCCCCACTCGAGACTTGGCAACATCACACAACGCTTTGTCGACCCCTAGCCCAACAGGCGCCCATACAATCCAAGGCACGCGCAGCACCCTAAGCAGCTTTACGCAACTGCGATGGGGGCCACGATAAAAAAAGAAAGGTACATCACCGTTCCCTATTAATAAACACCCCCTTCCCCCACATGGCCAGCAACCAACCCGGAGCCATGCGGGCCCCCCCCCTACCATCCGTCAAAAAAACAATGCAAAATGTGCATTGCGGGGCCGAGCCTGCCAACACCGTCCACAACCCCTGTCAAATAAACAATACTAAGTGCACATTGCAGCTAAATCTGGACAGTGCTCTGCTGCCCTGTAAGCACGTTGTATGTTTTTTGTTTGAAAGGGGTGGTGGGGCACCCTTAGTAAAGCCGCTTGATGCAGGAACGCCATCCTTGTCAAAAAATGGAAAGTTCACGTGGCGACAATGTCGTGGGCATTGTGCTGGCCGCCCTCGATCACCTTGTATGGTTTTTTGACAGGGACGGCGGTGGCGCCCGCATGATGATGCTTGCTGTGCGCAGGCCCAGAACAATGCTGACGCCCCCCACATCAGCATCTGGACCATGCGGACGAGGGGGCATCACGCTTTTTTATAAGGATGGCACACTAATCGCATGTGGATCCCGCGGCGAGCGTCGCGCACCCGGCGTCCGCTTTGCTTCCCAGTGGCTGTCCATCCAGTGGCGACCCCTGGCCATGCCGACACTCGGATGCCACTTATGTGGTGGGAAGGCGGGTGGGAGTGAGCTAGACGGCGTGCGTGCGGAGAGGGTGCCCCTCCCCCCACCCCGCCCTGGACCTGGACGGGGGCTTCCGCGGGTAGTTGGAGCGTCCAAAACGGCCTCGGCTAGGAAGCCTCACTCATGGGTTTTACTAAGATTTTGGCCCCATGGCCTTCTGGGGGGGGGCTAATTGGGGACCCCCCCTCCTCTGATCGATCTCACCCAAGATGGCCCAAAGATGGCCCCCAAGGCTCCCAACGGTGCCCCAAGAGGGCCCCAAGAGGTGGCCAGGATGCCACAAGAGGCCCCCAAGAGGCACCCAGGATGCCCCCAAGAAACTCCAATGAGACTTCCACGAGGCCCCCCAAAGGCACCCAAGACGCTCCAAGAGGCCTCGGCGAGAATGCCCAACTCATTGATAGCTGTTACTAAGATTGTGGCCACATGTTGGCCTCCTGGGGGGGCGGGCACTGATTTAAGATGACTCCAAGAGCGCCTGGGAGGGCCCAAGATGACCTCCAAGATGGCTCAAGATATCCGAAGATGCCTCAAAATGGCTCCCACGATGCGCCAAGATGCCCCAAGACCGCTCCAAGAAGGCTCCAAGTTGCCAAAGAGCTCCCCCATGAAGCCCCGAAGAAGCCAACATCCTTCAAAAACTTTTGGACATTAAATGTGTTTGGCTTTCTCGCCGATTCGCTGCCGATGGCCATCTGGGGCCTCAAGATGGCTCCAAGATGGCCCAAGAGGGCTCCAAGAGAGGTTCACGAGAGCCCCAAGACGGCCCCATGAGCGCCAAAGAGCGTTCCAAAAGCGCCCCAGGAGCGCCCCAATAAACCACTGTTTGGGCTCCCGAGGGACAACGCTAACCAATGCTCGCTTCTTGTTTGATCGATGTCCTCCAAGATGGCCCCAAGAGCCCCAAGAGCGCTCACAAGGCTCCCGAGAGCGCTCCAAGAGGGCCCCAAAGAGGCGCCCAGGAGGCCCCAAGAGGCCCCACCAGGCGCCCAAGAGGGCCCGACCGATTCCGGATACAGCAGTCCACATACGAGGCTAACAGAGACAACAAGGGCTATGGGAGACCACGTCGCCCAACCGATTCCGGATCCGGCGGACTAACTACTAGCTCCTTGTACAACCCATACAGAGCCCTTACAGGCAAACTGTTTAGGGAACAGTGTCGCACGACCGAAGGGGAATCACATTACAGGATAATCGATTGCAACATCACGCCGTTGCAGTTCTGTCGGCCTCCGTTACCTCGGCCTGACAGGTCCTAAAACAAACACACTGCGCATGGACGACGCCCAATGCCTCCCCGGGGCCCTTCCAGAGGCCGCTCCTGGAGCTGTCGTCGAGCGCCTCAGGGCGTCTCAGCGTCGGGATCGGCGTGCCCTCTGCGTCACCCAGGCCTGCGGTGCAGGGCCCCCGGGGAGGGATGGGAGACACAAGGAGAAGGAACAGCACTGCAATTTCTGACTTGACGACATGCGCTCCGCATCCTGTTACCGTGCAATTTACCTTACATTGAACGATCCCACTGGCAGCGGCACCTAGAGACTGCCAATGTCATCTCTCGTTGTTATAGGCTTAGGCGGTGCGAACCTACATGAGGCATACAATTCAGGGGAAACTATCTGGCCCACAGGCTGGGTCTAGACGCAAACGGGGCTCCCCCAAAAGGTACAAACACTGGAGACGTGTTCCTCCATCCGCCCTCCTTGCAACCTCCATACCTGCCTATATAAGCAATAATCCATCTTCCTTAGTTCCAAGCCCCTGCATGGATCCCGCGAGATGAATGTAATCAGCGACGGTGTCGCGAAATTTCACCAGTCCTCTTGGCGCAGGTCGTCGAGGCCGATCCCTCAGGCGACTCCCAAATCCCCCTTCGGGGAGGAGTTTGCCCCTCACCCTACCCCGCGCCAGAAGAGATTCTCCCCTGCCTAGCGGCCTCCCCCTGTCAAACGGCCCCGAAAGGCCTCTTCGGGGGTCACACGCAGGGCCTCCTGGGGCTCCCAAGAGCGCTCCAAGAGAGGGCTGAAAGACCCTATCTGTTCGGCCTCCAGATGGCCAGCGCTACTTCCGCCCGCCCCCCCTTCACGTTGTTTGGTGAATGCCCTCCACGATGGCCACCACGGCGCGCAGGAGGGCCCCATGAGGGTCCCAAAGTAAACAAGTACCCCAGCGTCCAGAGATGGCGCCGCGAGGAGACTTCACGACCGAACGATCCGACGGCCTCTCAGGTTAACTCATGGGTCTGCCCGGGCTGAACCAGAGCTTCGGTTTCACGGCAGCCTCCCCACTCTGGTACACGGTACACTGGATCTGAGTCAGTGCGGATACGCGAAAGATCAATAGGTCGATTCGCAGGCACAGCTCGAGGCAGGATCCCGATCGAGCCAATCCTGAAGCCGATATCAGGAGTGTCTTGCTACCAGCGAGCATCGCTGACCTCCCAATGGCCGCTGAACAAGCAGACGGCGGCATACATGACAATCTAATGGCGGCATACCTGAGCAGCAATCGGCGGCATAACAAACTCTCCCCATCCAACCTGACCTCCGACCGTTGACATGAGCCTTGGCTGCACCAACCGCTGTGGGCAACCCTTGACGCTCGGTCCGTCGGTCTTGCAATAATGCCCGCGCCCCGGCCTGGAATGGGCGACTCCACGGCGTTGGACTGCGCCACCTGGGCCGGCGCCCCGCTTCATTCAGCGCTCCGCGTTCTACATCCACGGGACGGGCGTGTCCAATCCCGCCTCGTCGAAGCCGCGGGATGGCCTCATCCTTTCCCTAAACTCCCTAACTATTCCCCTCCAACTATAACGCTTCCGTTCTTTTTCTGACTCTTTCTTCGACGCAGAGGTGCCGCGGACGGACCCACGCCTGGGGCTGCAGCGCGAGAGATAAGGGAAAACCCGACGGCCTGGCCTCACACTGTCTCGTCCAAGGCGTCCATACATTTTACCAAATGGAGCCCTCTGCACATAATTGAATCTGGCTTGGGGCCATCTTGTGATCGGAGTGGGATCTACAGCAGGTGCGCGCCCTGACGGCCCCGGCGTTAGTTTCTGACCCCACGTGGATCGTTCAACCTTGAACGATCGTCAGCTCTTCGATCGACATATCGCTCTACATTGGACGAGTCTGGGCCACTGGCGACATTGAACCTTGAACGCCCGCGGCGGGGTGGCTGACGCGTCGGCACGGAACGATCATGCCGAACTCGGCCGAAGTGTACACCAAGCCGCATCTTGCACCTGGGACCCATCCCGATCACACCAGACCACGCAGGGCGCTGTGGCGCCCGCAACCTCCAACGGTAACACCAATTTCGCATGCCTTCGTTATACCTGCGCGCCTAGATGGGATATGTGCATCCTCGTAGCAGAGATACCGCAGATTGCAAGCGATTAGTATGAATATGACAGTTGCCGAGGTCATCCTGGCTGCGTGAACGTCCTGCAACCCTGGCACGGTGTCCAGAGGCCTCCAGCATGTCCCCGAAACGAGTCTGAACTTAGGACGTATCCTCCTTGGGCTTGCAACCCGATGCGTGGCTTCGCACGAGGGTGGAATCAGAGGGACAGTGGAGAAGCAATCAAAAACAAGGCCTACAAGCGAGTCAATGGGAGCGATGGCCATCATGACCCATCTTTGGAAGCGGCAGTGGTGCGTCATGACCATCCGCCGCGCTGGGCTACGGATGGTGTATCGGGACCCCCGCGTTTCCCAACCTTCTTCCCACGAAAAAAATCGAGGCCCCGTCTGCGGCAACTCATGGGATCCTCTCATGCAAGCATGGTGGCACTTGCGAATCGGCGCTAATCGACGCTGAGCAATCCTACATCTCAGACGCTAATCGACGCTAGTGAACTCTACAGACGCTAGAGACGGAAGGAACTACGAGGATATACAAGGCTCCCATGACTGTTGCCGAAGAGGCCCCTGAACTCGTCAAGGTCACCACGCGCTTGCGAATCATCAAAGTCCGATGTGTCAGGGGGGCGCCCGCGCTCTCCCCCACGAGCCACTTCCCCGCCTCAAAACCCCAACACGGCGCGCTGGGAGAGGGGCACGGCAGCACGACTGGACACCAACGAGAAGCGCTCAAACACGGAGACAATATACAGACTTGTGGCATGCGGCATACATCTCACAAGCGCCATGCGGCATACAGCTCCCGAGTCACAAGTCACAGTTCGGCTTCCCCTGCGGGGCACAAGGCCTTGGAAAGCAGGCAATGACTCTCATCCTGTGGCCCTCAAGGTGTAATCACACCGGGCGGAATCGCACGGTCTTCTTGAGCGCCTGGGGCGCTGTACGCGCAAACCTGGGGGGGGGGCGTTGAGTCCCTTCTGGCCCTCGGAAGCCACCTGAGTCGGCGCGAACGCGGAGTTCGTGCCCTCCAGCAAGCGCAGGATCTGCCTGGCTGCAACCGGCTAGAGAAGCTCGGCAGGTGGTAACTCATCGGCCCCGGCCCCTGAGCTTCAGTCTTGCACCCGTTTTTGCGAGGGTTTGGGCGGAGCCACTCGGGGGAGGTAGCTCTGGCTGCTTCTTTGACAGAGCGCCCAGGGGTCTGGGACGTGGGGCAGCGACACCTCCACCGTTCCCATCTCCCTTGCCCAACAATCGTGCTACGTACCATGAGGAACTCTGAGCTCAGGGACAAAGGATGAAGGGGACGCAACGATCAGGGATCGGGTTTTCTGGACGCGCTCACCTCTTCTGACCTCTGGGGCCGCCCTCGTCGCCACGGCTGGATCCGCCTCAGAACTCTGGTCGGCACGCGCCCCGGGACAGAACCAAGGGCTGATGTTTGAGACATGGAGGAGGGAAACGGCTCTTCTGGCCACGGAGCGCCTCGGTCACGAATGGATGCCTCGACCTGGACCTGAGGAGCGGCCCGAGACACAAGCATCCTGCTGAACCCAAACTGGTACTCATTTCAGCGTGTCGATCACAATACCTGTCCCGCAGGCGAGCTTGGTGGCGCGCACAAGGGGGTAGAGGGAGGGGGGAGGGGGAAAACTGCTTAGAAGAAGGCCGCTCCTTAGAATGCGCCGTTCTACATCTGTCTACAAGGCCCGCATCTTCCGAGAAGCAGGGCCACTTCTAAGAAGCCATCCCCCTTCCCCCTACCCCTTCTGCGCGTGGCTGACAAATGCGGGGCGAAACGACCGTCTGCGCGGGGCCGACCTCAGGCTGGCGTGCCTGCAGCGTCTTCGGGGCAGGGGGGGTGCAGGAGGGGGAATGCCCCGCGGGAAGGAGGGCGGGGCCAGCGGGGTCTCAAACCTCCCTGCCCTGACCTCGGCCTGTCGGCGGCGAGCCAAGGGGGGAAGTGAGAGGGGACGGGCCTTCTCAGAAGCCTCCTGCGTCTTCGGAGAAGCCTTAGAAGCAACAACAGTCGGAAGGCGAGGGGACTTCTAAGCCTTCCGAGAAAGCCCGCCCCCTCTGCCTTCCCCCCGGGCGCGCCGCCGAGTCTGGTTACCTGGTTGCCCCCGTATCCCGCCCCTCCCAGCGCTTCCATAGTTGTCCCCCCGACGTCCTCGCTGAATCAAGCCGTTGAGCCTCACTGCCCGGAGAGTCCCGAAAGTCCATCTACCCCAGTGTAGTCAGGCAGTCTTCTGATTCCCGGAAGGATCGGACCAGCTCGAAAGGAGGAAGCGTCGTTCCCCAGAGCGCCGTCTGGAGCCCCCGCCCTTGGGGAGCCACTAGGATGAAGCGTAAAGCTCAACAACTCGTGACATTATTTATATACCTCCCGGCCGGGCGGACAAACACCACCACGGCCAAAACATCCACCCCGCCCCATCCAGGAGGAAGGAGGGGGGTATGAAGAGGAACGACCCCAAACGCCATCTGCTGCGACTGCATTGGAACCTTGTCCTCCTGCTCATCATCATCGATCGTCTCGGAAATAGTCTGGACCAGATACACCTTCCTGGTACGAGTCTAATCGGCGGGTCGGCGCCGATCGGCAAGGAGGAGGAGGAGGAACAGGAGGGAGGGGTGAGGCGAAGGAACAGCAGCAGCAGCAGCAGCAGGAGCAGCAGGAGCAGCAGGAGGGGGGGAGCTTGTGTGCGTTCGCATGGCGTCCCAAGGCCATTGTGGCACACCTCTCACGCGGATGGTGCGCCCCTTTCGGCAAACCCCTCACGCGGATCTGCCACACCCGCCAGTCGATCATCGTTAGTGGTTCGACTCCAGAGCCTGTTGACTCAGGCCTCCAACGGTTCAACTGGTTGATTATGTTATCCTCCCTCTCCCTCTTCATCGCCGTCCTCGTTCCCTCCTCCCTTCCTGCCAAAAACTCCTCATCATGCTGAACTGATGCTCTATTGCACACGGGCCGTGCACAAAGAGGTCTATCACAAACGTTGCATGAAACTGCTAAGGCTTGGGTCCCTCACCAAGCGACCGTTACATAGTTACCGCATTTTCGCAATCCCGAAAGCCCATGGCCCCAAGATCTTCCCAAGACCTCCATGAGGGCCCAAAAACGGCCCCGAAGAGCCCCAAAGATCCCCAAGACGGTCCAGATAAGCCCCGACGGCGGTCTCCCAAGGTACCAGACGGCCCGAGAGAAGCTCAAAACGGCCCCAGCGAGCTCCAAGGTGGCCAGAGAGAGGCCCCATCAAGAGGCCCCCGAGAGCCAGAACGGACCGAGACGGACCAGCCCCAAGACAGCCCCAAGCCGACCCAAGAGGGCCCTTCTCCACCATTGTTCCCCCAGTCGTTCCTTCAGCGCTGGAGGAACACGCAGTCCACTACATGGTCGCACCGTCACTCGACATTCCGCTGCACCACAAAGGCGTTCTCAACATGCAGGGTGCGCCAGTGATTCGCCGCAAGCGTCTGCGATACACGTTGGCATGAGCGTAACTATGCATCTTCACCTGGCGTTGCGAGAACACGCTGGAAAGCAGACTAGCCGCCACCCCAACAACGACCGCCCACCCGCGCGAAGTCTGCCGCGGCAGATAGCTTCGGCCCGGCTGCGTACCGGCCGTCCTTCGGAACCTCCGGGGTGAGCTGGTAAGTCTCCTGACAAGCGGCGGCTAAACCGAGACACCATGTACGACGCGCTCTTCCCGCCGAACGTAACATGCTGGACAATGGTCCCCGTGTTCGCCTGTCGGTCGGCCTGTGGCGATCCTCGTTGGATTATGATGTTCGTCGGCGGTCTTCTGAGAGGAAGCTGGACGGTCCCGTTCGACAACAGGGCCAACAATCGAACAACCAACGAACACACGCCTGCCCATCACGGATGGCGCGACAGAGGAGGACGCGCAGATGCACCGGCACCGCGCCTGGCCAGGCCCATCCCACTAAGGGCAAACTTCGCCGCCGGCTGGGCCCGTGCACCACTCGGTGGGCAGAGCGTGGCCTTGGCCGTGTCTGGTGTCGGCGTTGAGCCACCGTGTCCAGCGAGTCCCTGCAAGGCCCAACGACGAAGAAGCTTGAACCGCCGAACTCCTCGCCTCCGTTCTCCATCCGCTCTCCCGGGCGTGGGCGCGGACACCTTCCCTCTTCTCGCCCCCACGTCCGCGCTCACCTTCCCTGTCCCCGTCTCTTCTCTCCGCTTTTCTTAGGTAGGCTGCAGGGCGACTCTCCTCCTGATGCGTCAGCTCTCCTCCACCCCTCTCCCTCTCCCCCGTCGCGTCACTTGTCTCTTCCTCTGGAGGGACGCCAACCACTCCCGTGCGCACCAGCCCTGCTCGGGCCCACGCCGGGCCCAGGAGCGTTGGTCACGCCCCCACCCCCCAGGCCCGGTGGCCAGGGAAGCGTTGCGCTTGTCGGACCAGGGCTGGCCTGTCCAGGACTGGCGCAGGTGGACAGTTGGCGGCACTCATCCTTCCCATGCCCTCCTCCCTTGCAGTAGCACCGGGGTCACCACGAAGGAGCTCAGCATAAGGGGAGGGGCTTCGTGTCTTCGACGGACTGGGTGGCGGGCAGGATGAGATGTTGCTCCTGCATGTTCGTATTCGCTCGTTGGTGTGGCCCCTTGCAGACGAGCGCTCGACAGGATCGCTCGGCCGCCACAGTGCGTCGTGGCGCTGGGAAGGGAGGGAGGAAGGGAGGAAGAGAAACGAAATCGAGCATGCTGGAGTCCGCAGGGCTTGGTCTAAACAGCGTATAGCGTGCTCGTCGTGTTATCGTTTTCTTTTGTCTTGTCTTCGTTCAGCCTTTGCTGCAAAACAACATCAAAACAAAAGCCGGCTACGAAGTCGCCAAAAGACCGTTTAGCTCATGCCCTGTGATGGAGTCTGCCAAGCAACTATGGAGAATGACAGATCAAGTGGTGAACCTCAGTGGCGGCCACGTTCTTGCACTTTCAAGCCCCTGGAAGGGGAGGGGGTGAACGCCTACTTCGCTCCAGGTCATGACTGTCCAGGATCGGTTCCTGCGCCCAAAATTGACCTCCAGGATAGGTGCAGTTGAACAACCTGGCGCGCCCCAACCAACTCCGCTCAAGAGCAACCCCTGGGCACATCCCCGATGTACGTCCTGGCCCGCGTTCCGAGCCGCGTCAGGCCGTGGTGACGATGGTCCCCGCAGAAGGCCCAAAAAGGAAGAAGAAGAAGAAGAAGAAGAAGAAAAACAAGCAAAACAGCGAAAGAAGGAGGAGCCGGCGCTCCCAATTCTCACCCCTGCCTCCCCGCCCCCTCCCCTTCAGCGGGGGGGGGAAAGAGAAGCCCGTCGGCACCGGCCTGCCTCCTGCGGGGGGAGTTGAAGGGCAACGTTGGGGGGGGGGGACAGGCTCAGGGGGGGGGGGAAACACCGACCTGGAATTGGCGATGCGTCGCCGATGCACCGGCGATAGGGCCCCCCTGATGGCGAATGCGCCCGGCGCACGGTCCAGGGTGGGGTGGGCCATCGGGCCCCAATCGGCGAGGGATCCTGCGATTCGGGTTTGAGGCGGCGGCGGCGGAGGAGGATCGAGGATCTAGGATCGAGGAGGAGGAGGAGGACCGAGGATCGAGGAGGGGGATCGAGGCGATGAGTCCTGCGACTGCGGGGGAGGCGGGCCGCGGCTCCTCCTGGAGCTTCGAGCACAGGTACAACCCCGCGGCCAGGAGGGACCACGCGCAGGCGCACTGCACCGCCTCCACCTGTCTCCGGGGCCGGCTCGGGAGGCAAGGAGGAGCACAGGCCAAACATTTGAAAGGAAGTGTGCGCGGTCAGGATCCAGGGGCTTTGGACGCCCAGCTCTTCGAGCGAGGCTGGCCGTCGAAAGTGGTCAAGGATGGACAGCAGATGCAGGGATGCAGGGGTACCCTTGGCAAACGTAAACACACACGTTCGGAACTCCGCACGGGTCTCTTGGATCGGCGCTCGGGCCCTCTTGCAGCGCCTCTGGCGCCTCCGCTGGCGCGCTCCGTGCGGCAAGGAGGGGGGTCCAGCACCGATCCGAGAAATCCGCCGTTTCTTCGAATGGGGAAGGAGCAGCACAAGGGGGCGGAGATGGACAATGAGGGCGAGGAGGCTGACACGAGAAGGGGATAAGCAAGATTACCCTGGGATGCCCCTGGCCCTGACAACTACAAATTATCATCACAAGAGAAGAATGCGTAAACGCCCGTGACCTGCCCCCCCCCCCCTCCCCCTCTTTAAGCCGAAACCAAAACGTGGACAACTCCGGGAGAATTAATCTAGAATCTCTAAGGTCCGGAGGCTCTGGAGGATGCCTCCGGCGCCGAGGTCTTCTCAGAGCGTTCCAAAACGGACTTATCCTTGTCCTAGCCCTGCCCGACCTTCCCTCTCCATGGTCACGCCACGATTTGCGCCAGCGTCGTCTTGGGATGAACAAGTCCGAAGCATAGATGAGGCGTGACTGGCGGAGACCGGTGCGGGAGTTCCGGCGAACCCCTCCTGAAATCTGCGTGAGGAAATTGTTTTGCAAGGTTGTTGGAAGGTTTTCCTGGGGCGGGGGGGCCATGTTGGAAGGTTTCCCCACAAACCTTCCCAACAACCTTCCAAACACCTTGCAAACAAAACCTTCTAAAAACCTTCCAGCATGTAGCGGAACCGCCCAAAACATTCCAAAAACCATCCAACAACGTTCCAAAACACCTTCAAAACAACCTCCCGACAACCTGACACTATATATATATATATATATATATAGATAAAACCTTCCCAACAACCTTCCAGAAATCTCCTGGACACCTTTCAAAAAACCTTCAAAAATATATAAAAGTCTTCAAAAACCGTCGTCCCGAAGGATCCAAGAGGGGTTGGCCCGAAAACCTTACAAAAACCTTCGTGACGAAGGTTGTTTGAAGCTTTTTTGTTTGGAAAGTTCTGGGAATCCTGCATTCTTCGTGACGAGGAATTTTGGAAGGTTTTTTTTAAGTTCCAGGAATCCTGGATTCTGCGCGACGAGGGTTTTAGGATGGTTGTTTGGAAAGTGCTTTGAAAAATTTGTGGACGGTTATTTGGAAGATTTGTTGGAGGGTGTTTGGAAGGTTTTTGGAATATATTGGGCGAGTTCGCTCAATTCTGTAAGGTTTTGTTTAGAAAGGTTTTCGGACAGTTTTTGGAACCTTTCGTTGTATGGTTGTTGTGAAGTTTTTGTTTGTAAGGTTTTTGGAAGGTTTCTGAAAGTTGCGCAAAAATCATTCAAAAAATCGTCCAAAAACCATCGTCACGAAGAATCCAAGCTTCCTGGCAATATCCCCTCCTGAATCCGTCGTGGCCAAGGTTTCTGGAAGGTTTGTTGAAAAGGTTGTTTGGGGACGTTTTTGGAAGGTGGGTCGGAAGGTGTTTGGAAGATTCTTGAAAGGCACTGGGCGGTTGCGCTAAATGTTGGGATGTGTTTAAAATGGTTTTTTTTGTTGGGGGGGGAGGTTGTTGGATGGTTGTTGGAAGGGTTGCGTTGGAATGTTTGTTTTAAGAAAAAGGTAGTTGGGGAAACCTTCCAGTAAACCTTCCACGCCCCCTCCATCCCTGGGAAATCCGTTGAACAACCTTCCTCGCGAAGAATCCAATATACTTCGTGACGTGGGTTGCTTGGGCAGTTTTGCGAAAAGTTCCAGGAATCCTGGATTATTCGTGACGAGTGTTTTTTTTGCATGGTTGTTTTGAAGGTTTTCCCTGCAACCTTCCAACATTTAGCGGGACCGCCCACTACATTCTAGAAGTCGTCAAACGACTTCCAACAAACCTCCCGACGAACCTGTCAAACACCTCCCAACAAACCTTCCAACAACCTTGCAGAAAACCTTCCACCGAACTTCTCAAAAACCTCCAGGGGGGGTTGTCCAAAACACCTTCTAAAAAACATTCGTGACGAGGTTTTTTGGTTGCTTTTTTTGAACGGTGTCTGGCATCCTTGATTCTTCGTGGCGAAGGTTGTTGAAAGGTTTTTTAAAGGTCCCGGGGATCTTGGATTCTTCGTGACGAGGGTTTTCGGACGGTGTTTTGGAAGGTTCCAGGAATCCTGGATTCTTCGCGACTAAGGTTTTTGGACGTTTTTCTAAAGACCGTCCAACATCTTTCAAGAACCCCAACAACCTTCGAAAAACCTTCCGACCCAAAAAACATTCCAAAAACCTTCGCAAGGAGAATCCAGGAGGGGTTGGCCTAAAAACCTTTCAAACACCTTCGTGGGGAAGGTTTTTAAAAGGTTATTTGGGAGGTTTCTGGGATCCTGGTTTTTGGAGGGTCGGTCTAAAGGTTTCTGGAATCTTGGGTTCTTCGTGGCAAAAGTTTTTGACATGTTTTTGGAAAGTTCCGGGAATCCTTGATTCTTCGCGACGAAGATTTTTGAAAAGGGTTTTGGCAGTTCCAGGGCTCCCGGATTCTTCGCGACGAGGGTTTTTGGAAAGTTTGTTGGAAGGTTTGCCAAAAACCTTCAACAACTTCTAAAAACCTATCAATCAACCATCGAAAAGCCTTCCAACAGCCTCCCAACAACAAAAACAAACTTCCCAAGACCTTCGCGACGAAAAATCCAAAAGGGCTTGGCCCAAAAACCTTCCCAAAAATTTGCGTGACGAATGTTACCGGGAGTTTTTTTGGAAGGCTTCTGGAATCGTGGGTTCTTAATGTCGGAGGTGTTTGGCAAGGTTCTCGGAAAAAAAAACCTTACAACAACAAAACCATACAAAAACCGTCGCCGCGAAGAACCCCGGATCCCTGGAACCTTCCAAAACAAACCTTCCAAACACTCTCTTCGCGAATTGATCTCGATTCATTGCGAGGAAGGTTTTTGGAAGGTTTTCCCGGGGGGAGGGGGGGCGAGCAAGGTTTTCGGAAGGTTGTTGCACACACCTTTTTAAACATCTTCCAAAAAAAACCTCCCAAAAACCTGACAACAAAAACTTCCAAGAACCTTCCAACAAAACAAAATACAAAAACCGCCCACAAACCTTCCAACGACCTCCCATAATTCAACGAAACGCCCAACACGTTCCAAAAACCTTGCGCAAACCTTCCAACAAACTTCAGAACAACCTTCAAAAAACTTTAAAACAACCGCCCACAACAAC